TGTGTCACCTCCTGTCTCATATTTTCCTTGGTAATACTTAGTTTTGTACTCTGTCACTTAAACATTCACCAACTCTAATTTTGCTGACATAGGATGGAATTTTTTAGATTTTTAGATTTACAGCTTGATTCCACACTGTATTTTTGGTACAAGTATGGAATTTTCAGCATGGATATCGGTAACCCAAATTTCGCAGGCCGACCATAGATATCAGGTGTGCACCGGAATGACTGGAAGTCTAAATATCTGTTTGAATGTGTAGGTTTCCCGTAAACACAAGTTTTTAACTTCCAATTTCCTTTCTTTTTTATGCTACAATCTAACATTGGAAGCTCCCCTTCATACTTTACAATCCATAAGTGAATTGAATTGCCTCCAATTTTGACTTAATGTGTTCGAAAAATCGATCTAAATCCTGTTTTAAGCACAGTAAATTTGTCGTCTACATACCTCCACCATACTTTTGGGGTGGGGGTAAACGTTTCAATCACTGTTTTCCAAACTATCCATGAATATACCTGCTACGGCCGGGGATATTGATGATCCCATGGCAACTCTCTCAGTTTGTTGGTATATTTTCTTTTGGAGTTTAAATACTGTGGAAGTCAGGCATGGCTGCACCCCCAGCATTATATTCGAGTTCTTGGTCAGAAATGAGTTCATTTCTGATTGCCCCTATAACCATATTTATTGGTATACGTGTACATAAACTGACAATGTCAAAACTAACCATTTTTCTTCATTATCTGATTTTAAATTATCTAATCTATGTTTTAGCTCATAAGAATTTTTAGTCCAGATTCCGACTGGATTTTAAGGGGATTTAAAACCATGACTAAATATTTATATATTTCATAAGTAGGTGAATATCTCAAATTAACTGTAGGTATAATAGGGTATCCTGACTTATGAACTCTAACTACACTACACATCCTACTAGGGTTATAAGTTTTGGTCATTAAATTAGGCCACTTAGACCAACCTAGAAACGGAGCCATTCGGCGTGTAAGGTCTGCTGTGGATTTCCTAACTTTATTCATAACTGTGTCTATAAATCATATGGTCCTGTTTGTATGTGGGTATTCCCCTTGTTCACATAGTCTGATTTGTCTAATACTACTGTTGCATTTCATTTGTCTTACTTTGTGTTTACTATATCCTTGTTATTCTTAAGGTGTTTCAGGGCTTCTATCTCTGGTTTTGTCAGGTTAGGCGTTCCAAGTTTTTGTCGTTTTAATGTAAGTGCAAATTGTGTCGTTGCTCTGACTATCCCACTTAGCGCTATTTCTATTTTAGGTTTGACATCCTCGGGTTTCAGCTTCTCCACCGCTACATTGAAATTAAGTCTTTTTTCCAATACACTTATTTTTGTAGGGCTAAATACATATGATGAGAGATTGGTTGACCTGAACAAGATAAGAAATCCAGAGAATAGTTCAGCTATAGCACTACATGCAGTTACACACAATCATACAATAAAATGGATGGGATAGGATGACAGTTTTAAAATGTAATGTCACAGGGTGGAGGAGAGATGGATAACAGGAGCTTAGTTTATCGAATCAACTGCTAATATATGTGATAAGGATGATTCAACACCTGTCCCAGATATCTGGTAAATTCTACTACCCGTACGACGACAAATAGGAGAGGACAAATGAAACTATAAAACTCAAGTTTCACAGTCGTGTGATCATAATTGATATGATTATGAGCAATAAATTTGGTTCGAAACGTCATCCAGCAAACAATGACGTCTCACTGTGTGATACATCTAATAAACCTGCTAATATGGAATTAATAAAGAAAAATCCCCATTTAGACATTTAGAAAACAGAAAAATTGAGTGGCGAAGAAATATTTACTTTTCAATTAGATCCTCATCTCTGGTTCTACTCTAAAATATATATATATATATAACATTTTAATTACAACACAAAAGTTTACCAATAAAGTGGCGATGGGTTTGTTAACAATAATTAGTCAGTGTCAAAATGTCAATGGGTTAATAGCTAACGAAGAAAATCAATACAAATTTAAAAGGTAAAAATGGATAGAATAAATCAATTTAACAAGGAAAACACGTAAATCAAAAATTAAGGGGTCAAAATAAATAAAAATAAAAGAAATAATTTAGAAAAATATAAATTTTATAGGTTTAGAAGGAGGGGGCAAGGCAGTCAAAAAGACTATTGCTCGTTTGTTCCTTACGTTTTTTCTTTGCAGAATTTTAATCTTTCGACCGCATAACAGACAGGATAGACGATTATGGAAAATGAAATGAATGTTTTGCCTGTAGATTTATCCTCTGAACCCAGTGAATTAGTTCGACAGTAGAGTCTAAGGAATCGGTTTGAATGTGGAGAATGCATCTGGCGTTTTCAAGAGTTGAAGCGTCTATTCAACTTCATTCACCATCTGATTTTTAATTTTAGTGAGCTAGTAGCATGTACAAAATGCGAGACAGTCAGCTTTTCCTGCATGTTGTCTTCTGTTGTCACAGCGGTCAGTGGAAGAAGTCAGGAACCCGGAATGAAAGAAAATCGCAGTGATTAATGTAATACACGCAGAAATATATTTCAGTTTTAAGTGAAGGGGGTGTCCGTTCATCCTTCGAATGAGGCTTGAATGTGGACAGTATAGAGTGGCTGGACCCATCACTATTATAATAAACTATGCATTTAAAAAGGGAACCGCTGATGTCTGTGGAGCCGGAAGTTCGAAGACTCAGAAATGGACAGAAATTATAAATGCTGCGGCTTCTCATAGGAAATACCTCAGTCGGTCAACTCTCATAAACTGTCACTGTCCAGGTCTTACATCGCTGGACCTCACGCTATCCCTAGAAGACTTTCAGCAAGAGTTTGTATTAATTAACGAGAAAACTAAAGCATTGAATAGCGACTCATGAATCCTTTATTCCTATGCCAACATTTAACCGACAATAAGGTTATTATACACAAGGTCTAAGAATAAATGTTATAAAAATAAATCACGATAATACTTCTGATGATTTTTTATCTTCCTCTAAACAGCGAACGCAGAGACGATGACTGGTGGATTAGTGACTCCCGCGAAAAATGTGGAGGAGTCGGTTTTGAGCAAACAACCATGGATTGATCGCTCAAGCCTCAACTACACTGACAGTTCCCACCACAAGTTATCATTCTAGGCAGTGGTGAATTCAAGAAGTTAATGATGTATGACGACTATAGGATATTAAGGAAAATGTCTACCTCATTAATTAATATTATCCTGTTAACGCTCTCTATAGGAATTCGCCACATGGGCATTCACGCGGGATTCGTGAGGCTGAGTGGGTTTGGTATGTGATGGAAGGCCAGTGATATCTCCAGAAACTCAGTTTTTCAACCAGAGAAATAATCACTTTGTATAGAGAATTCTTCGAGGTCTATAACATGAGAACAACAAACAGTACGAATAGGGAAGGGTGAGTATAAAATATGAAAAACTTTATTCGCAGTCATCTAATATACCAACTGGATGTTACTGATAGGCTGAACAGAAGCTGTACTATTGCGTGCGGGGTAACATGTCTCGAACGATTCCATAACGTCGAAATCGGTCTGGAGTGAGAACTGTCTGCAAGACAAAATTATAGACGTCCAGAATCAGGACATGAGAAAAACCAAGAACAAAGCCTGACTTCGAGGAACTCAACAACCAACTACAGCAGACTTAACGTGGGCGGATTCGACTCACAGATATATCACCGGACTGCCTAATCAACGGCTACAAAGAGATGACAGAATAACCTTCGGCAGGAAAAAGACCATTCAGAAGACGTTGCTTCTCTGCTAATAATAACGAATATTAATGCACATAAAAATCTAATAATACATGTTGTCTTCTGTAGTTACAGTTTTACAGTGTTTCAAGAATCTAATGTTTGAAACTTGAGAAATGAGACTTCCGCGAATAACAGTAGTCCCGCAGAACGAGGCGCCACTCCTAGTGAGTTCTCTGTTTGCTCTATCGCGTTGTGCGCTTCTCATGTTACCAGAGCCTTCAGTAACAAGGTAACACTTCTAACAATCGTACATACCTAAGTTATCTGAAGCTGATTGCAATAAGATATTTCGAGAAATGGAGCATAATTCTAACAACTACGGGTAAATTTATTATTGTGTGGAAGCCATTTCAGATTCGATAAGTTGAGAATGAAATGAAGTTAGAGTAACCTCCAGCTATGTCCTGCACAAATACAAATTCATGCAGTCATCGGCATATGTGAAGGGGCATGGGAAGTTAAAAGAGAGATATTGTTATTCACTGCACGCTGAAAATAATGTACACAGAAATCTATAAATTCCACCATTTACCCAGGTGTGCATTATGTCCCATTCACAAATGTGCAGACAAAATGTAGGAAACTTCTTTCGAGGGGGAAATATCGAACAAAGCCGACAAAAAGGGGAAACACCGAAGAATTTTCCTAATACTGTTAAATTGTAGGTAGTATAACTTTACTCTCGAAACTTCGTGCCGAGTACGTCAATTGAGTTCTTCTCACCTTAAGTTTTCTACGGAATCTCTGTCACGAAATCCAACGAGCAGAACACAGAAGGAAGTGCTGACGTTTAAAAATGGGAATATAAATAAAAGTAAGCCGACAATTTATGTATTTTCCGTGATACACTAACAAAGACAGACATACGCACTTATACACATACATTCACGAGAGTGACCAATAACATTAGAATACAGCCAAACGCATAAACTGACCTACAGTTTGTTATTGTCACTTCGATGATGATAATATATGGGGCCAATTTACTTCTTATTAATGCCACACATGGAACTAAAAATGCCGTGAGAGAATAAATAAACCAACCTGTGTGACTCATTCATCCACAGATAAATTTTTATGTGGGTTGAAGCTTGTTGACCAGTCACTAGAGTCGATGAAAACATAAGTGGTCAATGTTGATTGCTGCATCACATTTTGTTTATGTGAATTCAAGTCATCCAGCACGTGCTCACTTTAAAACTACACCATGCAGGTAAATGACCGATACAATATCTTGTAACATTTTCCTCAGCCTAGCTCTAAATGCCCTACCTAGCGAACAGATAAATGATTTTGACAACGACAACGTTCACCGATCAGACGCGTCTATTCCACATTAGTTTGTTGATCAGATATATCACACAGTGAAACAGCATTATTTACTGGATGACGTTTCACTGTGATATATCTAATAAACAAACTAATATGGAATTACTTACTACCACAGTGACCAAGTTTCACACATATATTAACAGACGCGTCTATGGTAAAAGCGCATAGTTTGTATAAAACGTTTATATAAAAGTAATGTAATGTTAGAAAGATAGTTACAAGGCTAACGTTCTCGTATATTTCCCCCCAGAAAAACTCCTAATTTCTCATAGTTATGTTAAACCAAGCTCTGTACATAAACTCATCGAGATAACTGTATCATTGTATTTCTTGATCCGCTCACAGATCTGATCCCTTTTTGAGGCGACTCCAAAAAATTTCGATGGAATTAGTGTGGATTCCATCGAGGGGATTGATGAAATCATTTGCACGGTTGACGATGTGATGAATATAACTCCATTCATCTGTATGAATAGTTGTTCCAGGCATCACTAAGCGTTAGATTATAGGCAATAAGACATAAGCACTGCGATTAGGGATCACCTCAATGTATCCTTTGTGGTACGTTCGACATTTGTGCTACATTTAAGCTTGATTCGCTATATATTTCTGTTTTTGTTGTGAGACTCGCACAAGCGCCTCTCCAGTTCCATGATTGTAACCAATAACTCTTTCACTAATTAGTTATGGTTAATCATAAAAAAGCCACGAACTCAGTCACCTGTTAGCCTGATGACTGATAGTACATATGTGCTCGCAACACAACTCCCACAAAATATGGAAGTGAGATGCACAGCTTGCCAATACGCCGCAAACGTCGAGCTGCTGTAACACTACTATCTACTGTGGGCGGTAGTGACGGTAAAACTATTCTAACAACTAGTAGCAGCGTTGCTTCTACAAACTCAGCATCTGGTCCCGACACAGACCTTTTCACTTCACCCTATGTACGTGTCAGAAAACTTCAGATACCAAGCCCAGATTCGGCGCTTACTTCAGAAATAGAACGACTAAAGCTGTCTGTAGAAGAACTCAGGACTGAGATGCGGGACATAAGCTGTAGTAAGGCTATGAATGCAGGATGTTCAGAAAATTTGGCCAACATATCTGAACTATCAACACAGATTAGTGATATAAAATCACAAGTCTGCGAACTTGCACCTCTGAACATTCTGACCAGGACTAAAAACCCTTGCGAACGTGGTACGGAACCAGTAACTAAGGTAGACACCTGGATATACTTCATCGCAACAGAGGTTATCAGAAGACTTGATACTGAACTAAGTGTGATCGTCCATAATATACCAGATAATGAGGGGTTCAAGAGGTTCAAAGCATCTCACTTAGGGTGGCGAATATGCCTAACTCCGAAACAAAATGTCATAGACTGAAGAGAAGTCAGCACGACCACTGCTGTCCTACACACCTCCAGTTCAAAACTCTGACAGGGGCTTAAAAATTCACCAACACACAACGTGTCTTATTAGGGGACACAAGCTACAAACAAATAAAAGTTGTAGCAGATAAGACAGTAATTGAAAGACGTGCCTACAATCACCTAAATAAACCTAATAGCAAGACACTGCAAGCCACCAAAATAGATAAACACAGCCAATACGGTAGAACTCATAGCCCCCCAAAATCTCACAAAAGTAGCTCTACAGAAGACGAAACCAAACGAAAGACCTGTTAGCTATAGTCTAACCCCTAAACTAACCTCTCCTTCGTCTACCGTGGATCTAGTTATGTCTATGGACAGCCATAAAATGGAAATCGGTAAATGGAATTCGGTAAAAAACATGCCGAAATACGCCACCTGCTGCAAAACATCCCCAACATATTCAAACTCCCAAGGATAAATCACGCTTTAAGGTAAATAATATCCAAAACTATACCAGCAAACAAATTAGAAACAAAACAAAGACATAGAGTCCAAGAACAACAACGACACAACCTACTCGCATACTGCGCCAAGTCACAATAGTAGCTGGTGCAGAGACGGTATCACGCAAGATAGTATGAGTGGCAACACTCGGAGCTCAGCCACCAACCACTCAGTGTCTTCAAAGTATGACACGCAAACTAACTTTGGCAGACTATACGGAACAAGTCCTCTGGAAAACAAACCACAGTGCAGCTATGCATATAACGAAACCCATGTAAGGTCTCTTAGAATGTCCCTACACAATAGGCAGATTAATAAGTCATGAGCATCTCAAGGTACCAATGATTTTTTATCCAACACATCCCTATCAGCGCTGACCAAACAGCTGGTGGGGATGTTAACTCTTCTGAACCTGTACCACTAACGTCGGCTCCCTATCGGGAAGAAAACAGACATAGGCCAGTGCACACGGAATTACCAATCACATCCAATGACTACAAGCGCAGGCCAAATAAGAACTCCAACCTACCTAAGCCTAGAACTACCTCATCCTATAGTGAATCCAATAAAATAACTCATTGTTCACTAAAAGAAATAGATAGTAACTCGATAGACATAGGTGAACATTGGGCCCAAACCAGTTGCAACAGAGGGTTATTAGGCCACGCGGAAGCAGTGGATGCCGATCCACGCTACAGCCTTATTGACGAGCCTAAACACTTCAAACACTATTTCAACTCTCAACTCTACTTAATATTAATTAATGTTAGATCTACACTTAAAAAACTACCGATGCTCAGGGCACACACGCTGGTATACAAACCCCCAGTAATTATTGTTACCGAATCCTGGTGTCACTCCAATACACCAGACGAAGAGATAAGCATCGATGGGTACACACACTTTCGATGTGACAGGAACAGTGGTAAGGAAGGAAGCTGCCTAAAGTACTTCCTGAACACACTTGCTGTGTTACAGCTAGAAAATACGGAACTGAATGACATGCATGACACCCTATGGGTCAACGTACACTTCAAAAGTGCTAAACTACTAATAGGATGTATCAACATAAAACCAGACACCTTTAGTGATTACGAGACCCAACTCATTAATACTCTGGAGCAATTATCCACTTACTCATACGATCATAAGATCCTATGTGGGGACTTTAACTTACCTGAAATCAACTGGGATATACCCACAGGTCCAACTAAATTTGATAAGTTCTTAGGCACACTGGATATACTTGGCTGGAAACAAATTGTCACTACTCTCACAAGAGGTAATAACGTACTAGACTTAATCTTCTGCCACAATATAGGTCCCCTCTCAATCTTAGTGGGTTATAAGTTCTCAGGTAGTGATCACAAAACAGTGATGTGTGCACTGTCGCTTCCACTGAGTAGCAATGAAGCTCATACCTCCACTTCACAACAAGTAATATATATAGGAACTATAGTAAGGCAAACTGGGCCTTGGTAGAAGCAATGCTAAGACCCTCTGAATGGGGGGGGGGAAATACTTCACTAGTGATGACCTCTTGACAGCTCTGAGCATTTACCAGAACTCAAACACATGCTTAGATGCTATCATCCCACTCCAAATATTAAAGGTTTCCCCACAAAGAAAGTCATTTATGAGACCAAAGGATCGTAGGAAACTGAAGAGACTCTCAATAAGTTACTTCAAACACCACGACTTTGGCACACTAGGTCTAATACTTAACACCCTTAGCTCCGTCTCACAAGCTCGAGATTTTCGTGTGAGAAACGAAGAATGCATCGCAGTAGCCAGTCCTGCTAGGGTGTATGCACTAACAGAAATCTTAAGGAAGAGAATGAATCGCAAAAATCACAGCATTTCTCTCCTCATAGACAAAGGTAAGCTATGCACTAACTCTGCAAACATATGTGAACTATTCAACAAAACGTTTGCAGGTAACTACCTTAAGGCCTCAGTCCAGCTACTCGATATACACCCTGTTATTAATATGGCACAAATTCCATCTCCACTCACACCAAACCAAATTAGCACTGTTGAATTCACTTACGCTAATATTAACCAAACTGTAAGAACCCTCAAAAGTTCAAAAGGTTTCGGTGCCGACGGTATATCATCTTATTTCTATAAATATGGTGGCCCTGACATTCTACTGCTGCTTAAAATATTCACAATGTCCCTATAAACTCAAACTTACCCTGACATATGGAAGACAACATTCATTATGCCTAAACACAAATCTGGCTCGAAAACTAAGGTCAGTAACTACCCGCCGATCAATATCACACCTATAGCATCTAGAATTATAGAGAGACTAGTTAAAGATAACTTAATCAAACATATGCTTAGCTGCAATATTATAAGTCCGAACCAATATGGATTCCTGAAATCCAGATCTTGTTTAACATGTCACCTAGACTTCTTCAATTTTTTAACCAGCAGTCGTGACAGACGGCAACTAGTACTTGTCATCTACTTTGACATTTCTAAGCCATTTGACCGTGTTGACCATTTACTGCTAACAAATAAGCTGAACTCCTTAGGGATACGTGACCCAAATTTAGAATGGCTTAAATCATTTCTTAACAACAGGTCCCAAATAGTTAAACTTAGGCCTGAGAATTCCAATCCTAGCCCAATCACTTCCGGTGTAGTACAAAGTAGTGTCATTGGGCCCCTCCTATTTACACTATATATCAACGACACATGCGCTTGCTTCTCACATGGGAAACCATTCATCTTTGCAGATGACCTAAAGTAGCCTATACATCCCAATGTGATGACCCAGGGTACTTCCAGAATGTTGTGCAGAATGAATTAGATAGAGTGACTGCTTGGTCGTCCTTTTGGAATCTACAATTTAACCTGAACAAATGTGGCTGGATCTGCTTCGGTGCACCCTCAATAGACATGAAATTAACGCTTCAAGCGCTCAAAGCTATCCCTACACCAGCTAATCCTCGTGAACTGGCTGTGGCATCTCCTGACACCCTCAA